GGGTGTTAGTCGGGTGTTAGGTTGTGGGTGTTTTGGGGTGTTAGTGGGGTGTTAGTCGGGTGTTAGGTTGTGGGTGTTTTGGGGTGTTAGTGGGGTGTTAGTCGGGTGTTAGGATGTGGGTGTTTTGGGGTGTTAGTGGGGTGTTAGTGGGGTGTTAGTGGGGTGTTAGTGGGGTGTTAGGTTGTGGGTGTTAGTGGGGAGTTAGGTTGTGGGTGTTAGTGGGGTGTTCAGTCGGGTGTTAGTGGGTGTTCTTGGGGGTGTTAGTCAGGGTGTTAGTGGGGTGTTCGTGGGGTGTTAGTGGGTGTTAGGTTGTGGGTGTTATTGGGGTGTTAGTGGGGTGTTAGGGTTGTGGGTGTTCAGTGGGGTGTTAGGTTGTGGGTAGTTAGTGGGGTGTTCGGTTGTGCGTGTTAGTGTGGTGTTTAGTGGGGTGTTCGTGGGGTGATTCGGTTGTGGGGTTCAGTGGGGTGTTAGTGGGGGTGTTAGGTTGTGGGTGTTAGTGGGGTGTTATGTTGTGGGTGTTAATGGGGTGTTAGTGGGGTGTTAGGTTGTGGGTGTTAGTGGGGTGTTAGTGGGGTGTTAGGTTGTGGGTGTTACTGGGGTGTTAGTGGGGTGTTAGTGGAGTGTTAGTGGGGTATTAGTGGGTGTTAGTGGGGTGTTAGTGGGGTGTTAGGTTGTGGGTGTTAGTGGGGTGTTCAGTGGAGTGTTTAGTGGAGTGTTAGTGGGGTGTTAGGTTGTGGGTGTTAGTGGGGTATGTTAGAGGGGGGTGTTCGTGGGGTGTTAGTTGTGGGTGTTAGTGGGGTGTTAGTGGGGTGGTTAGTGGGGTTTAGTGGGGTGGTTAGTGGGGTTTAGTGGGGTGGTTAGGTTGTGGGTGTTAGTGGGTGTTAGTGGGTGTTAGGTTGTGGGTGTTAGTGGGGTGTTAGTGGGGTGTTAGTGGAGTGTTAGTGGGGTGTTAGGTTGTGGGTGTTAGTGGGGTGTTAGTCGGGTGTTAGTGGGGTGTTAGTGGGGTGTTAGTGGGGTGTTCGTGGGTGTTAGGTTGTGGGTGTTAGTGGGGTGTTAGGTTGTGTGTGTTCGTGGGGTGTTAGTGGGGTGTTAGGTTGTGGGTGTTAGTGGGGTGTTAGGTTGTGGGTGTTAGTGGGGTGTTAGTGGGGTGTTAGATTGTGGGTGTTAGTGGGGTGTTAGCTTGTGGGTGTTAGTGGGGTGTTAGTGGGGTGTTAGTGGGGTGTTAGTGGGGTGTAACGTTGTGGGTGTTAGTGGGGTGTTAGTGGAGTGTTAGTGGGGTGTTAGTGGGGTGTTAGGTTGTGGGTGTTAGTGGGGTGTTAGGTTGTGGGTGTTAGTGGGGTGTTAGTGGGGTGTTAGTGGGGTGTTATTGGGGTGTTAGCTTGTGGGTGTTAGTGGGGTGTTAGTGGGGTGTTAGTGGGGTGTTAGTGGCGTGTAAGGTTGTGGGTTTTAGTGGGGTGTTAGTGGAGTGTTAGTGGGGTGTTAGTGGGGTGTTAGGTTGTGGGTGTTAGTGGGGTGTTAGGTTGTGGGTGTTAGTGGGGTGTTAGTGGGTGTTAGTGGGGTGTTAGTGGGGTGTTAGGTTGTGGGTGTTAGTGGGGTGTTAGTGGGGTGTTAGTGGGGTGTTAGTTTGTGGGTGTTAGTGGGGTGTTAGGTTGTGGGTGTTAGTGGGGTGTTAGGTTGTGGGTATTAGTGGGGTGTTAGTGGGGTGTTAGTGGGTGTTAGGTTGTGGTGTTAGTGGGGTGTTAGTGGGTGTTAGTGGGGTGTTAGTGGGGTGTTAGTGGGGTGTTAGTGGGGTGTTAGGTTGTGGGTGTTAGTGGGGTGTTAGGTTGTGGGTGTTAGTGGGGTGTTAGTGGGGTGTTAGTGGCGTGTTAGTGGGGTGTTAGTGGAGTGTTCGTGGGGTGTTAGTGAGTGTTAGTGGGGTGTTAGTGGAGTGTTCGTGGGGTGTTAGTGGGGTGTTAGTGTGGTGTTAGGTTTGTTGGTGTTCGTGGGGTGTTAGTGGGGTGTTTGTGGGGTGTTCGTGGGGTGTTCGTGTGGTGTTCGGTTGTGGGTGTTAGTGGGGTGTTCGTGGGGTGTTAGTGGGGTGTTAGTGGGGTGTTAGGTTGTGGGTGTTAGTGGGGTGTTAGTGGAGTGTTAGTGGGGTGTTAGTGGGGTGTTCGTGGGGGTGTTAGTGGGGTGTTCGTGGGGTGTTAGGTTGTGGGTGTTAGTGGGGTGTTAGTGGGGTGTTAGTGGGGTGTTAGTGGGGTGTTAGGTTGTGGGTGTTAGTGGGGTGTTAGTGGGGTGTTAGTGGGGTGTTAGTGGGGTGTTAGGTTGTGGGTGTTAGTGGGGTGTTAGTGGCGTGTTAGTGGGGTGTTAGTGGGGTGTTCGTGGGGTGTTAGTGGGGTGTTAGTGGGGTGTTAGGTTGTGGGTGTTAGTGGGGTGTTAGTGGGGTGTTAGTGTGGTGTTCGTGGGGTGTTAGGTTGTGGGTGTTAGTGGGGTGTTAGTGGGGTGTTAGGTTGTGGGTGTTAGTGGGGTGTTAGTGGAGTGTTAGTGGGGTGTTAGGTTGTGGGTGTTAGTGGGGTGTTAGTGGGGGTGTTAGTGGGGTGTTAGTGGGGTGTTAGGTTGTGGGTGTTAGTGGGGTGTTAGTGGGGTGTTAGTCGGGTGTTAGGTTGTGGGTGTTAGTGGGGGGTTAGGTTGTGGGTGTTTTGGGGTGTTAGTGGGGTGTTAGTCGGGTGTTAGGTTGTGGGTGTTAGTGGGGTGTTAGGTTGTGGGTGTTAGTGGGGTGTTAGTGGGGTGTTAGGTTGTGGGTGTTTTGGGGTGTTAGTGGGGTGTTAGTCGGGTGTTAGGTTGTGGGTGTTTTGGGGTGTTAGTGGGGTGTTAGTCGGGTGTTAGGTTGTGGGTGTTTTGGGGTGTTAGTGGGGTGTTAGTGGGGTGTTAGTGGGGTGTTAGTGGGGTGTTTTGGGATGTTAGTGGGGTGTTAGTGGGGTGTTTTGGGGTGTTAGTGGGGTGTTTTGGGGTGTTAGTGGGGTGTTAGTGGGGTGTTAGTGGGGTGTTAGTGGGGTGTTAGTGGGGTGTTAGTGGGGTGTTAGTGGGGTGTTAGGTTTGTGATCACCCTGATTAACTCCCCTACCGAGGGCACTGTGCCAGCTTCGGTGCACCACCACCACTACCACCACCACCACCACGACCACCACCACTACCACCACCACCATCACCACCACCACTACCACCACTACCACCACTACCACTACCTCCACCACCACCACTACCACCACCACCACTACCACCACCACCCCTAACACCACTACTACCACGACCACCACCACCACCATCACCCCCACCCCCACCACCACTCCCACCACTACCACCACTACCCCCACCACCACCACCCCCACCACCACCATCACCACCGCCACCACCACCACCACCACTACCTCCAACACTACCACCACCACTACCCCCACCACTACCGCCACCACCACCACTACCACCACCACCACCACCACCCCCACCACTACCCCCTACACCACCACCCCTACCCCCCCCCACCACCACCACCCCCCCCCCCACCACCACCACCCCTCCCACCCCCCCACCACCACCACCACCACCCCCACCACCACTACCACCCCCACCACTACCACCACCACTACCCCCTACACCACCACCACTACCCCCACCACCACCACCACCCCCACCACTACCCCCCACCCCCCCCCCACCACCACCCCCCCCACCACCACCACCACCCCTCCCACCCCCCCACCACCACCACCACTACCACCACTACCACTACCACCCCCACCACTACCCCCACCACCACTACCCCCACCCCCCCCCACCACCCCCCCCCCCACCACCACCACCCCCCCACCACCCCCACCACCACCACCACCACACTCACAGTGTTAGTGGGGTGTTAGTGGGGTGTTAGTCGGGTGTTAGTGGGGTGTTAGTCGGGTGTTAGGTTGTGGGTGTTTTGGGGTGTTAGTGGGGTGTTAGTGGGGTGTTAGTGGGGTGTTAGTCGGGTGTTAGGTTGTGGGTGTTTTGGGGTGTTAGTGGGGTGTTAGTGGGGTGTTAGTGGGGTGTTAGTGGGGTGTTTTGGGATGTTAGTGGGGTGTTAGTGGGGTGTTTTGGGGTGTTAGTGGGGTGTTTTGGGGTGTTAGTGGGGTGTTAGTGGGGTGTTAGTGGGGTGTTAGTGGGGTGTTAGTGGGGTGTTAGGTTTGTGATCACCCTGATTAACTCCCCTACCGAGGGCACTGTGCCAGCTTCGGTGCACCACCACCACCACTACCACCACCACCACCACGACCACCACCACTACCACCACCACCACCACCTCACCACCACCACCACCACCATCACCACCACCATTACCACCACCATCACCACCACCACTACCACCAACCACTACCACCACTACCACTACCTCCACCACCACCACGACCACCACCACCACCATCACCCCCACCCCCACCACCACTCCCACCACTACCACCACTACCCCCACCACCACCACCCCCACCACCACCATCACCACCTCCACCACCACCACCACCACTACCTCCAACACTACCACCACCACTACCCCCACCACTACCGCCACCACCACCACTACCACCATCATCACCACCACCCCTAACACCACTACCCCCTACACCACCACCCCTACCCCCCCCCACCACCACCACCCCCCCCCACCACCACTACCCCCCCCACCCCCCCACCACCACCACCACCACCCCCACCACCACTACCACCCCCACCACTACCACCACCACCACTACCACCACCACCACCACCACCCCCACCACTACCCCCCACCCCCCCCCACCACCACCCCCCCCACCACCACCACCACCCCTCCCACCCCCCCACCACCACCACCACCACCCCCACCACCACTACCACCCCCACCACTACCACCACCACCACTACCCCCTACACCACCACCACTACCCCCACCACCGCCACCACCCCCCCCCCACCACCACCACCCCCCCACCACCACCCCCCCCCACCACCCCCCCACCACCACCACCACACTCACAGTCCTCACATCGCCATGGCTGCTGCTATCACCAGCTCGCTCATCCGACAGCGGCGGCAGACGAAGGAGGGCATCGCCGCCTCTTCAGCAGCCACCGCCTCTCACCACCACAACCACCACCACCACCACCACCACAACCACACCAACAACCACGTGAACAACAGGCGGCAGGGAGGCGTCGGGGTGACGAGTCCCTCGCGGACGCAGGGGGGGCATGGTCTAGGGGGTCCGAGTGGGGGTCCCGGTGGTGGTGTAGGGGGTAGTAGTGGTGGTGGTGGTGGTGGTGGTTGTGGTGGTGGTGGGGGTGGTGGTGGTGGTGGTTCAGCACCCCCAGGGAGTCGATCTCTCTCGGCCATCGTCTCCAAGGTTCGCGTGTTCGGCATCAAACGCAGGAGAACGAGACGACCGGGTGAGTGTGTGTGTGTGTGTCTGTGTGTGTTAGTGTGTGTGTGTTATAGTGTGTGTCTGTGTGTGTTAGTGTGTGTGTGTCTGTGTGTGTGTCTGTGTGTGTGTGTCTGTGTGTGAGTCTGTGTGTGTGTCTGTGTGTGTGTCTGTCTGTGTCTGTGTGTGTGTACTGTGTGTGTTGATTACTGTGTGTGTGTCTGTTTGTGTGTGTGTACTGTGTGTGTGTTGATTACTGTGTGTGTGTCTGTGTGTGTGTACTGTGTGTGTGTGTACTGTGTGTGTGTCTGTGTGTGTGTACTGTGTGTGTCTGTGTGTGTGTGTCTGTGTGTGTGTGTGTGTCTGTGTGTGTGTCTGTGTGTGTGTCTGTGTGTGTGTGTGTCTCTGTGTGTGTGTGTCTGTGTGTGTCTGTGTGTGTATGTGTGTGTGTGTCTGTGTGTGTCTGTGTGTCTGTGTGTGTGTCTGTGTGTGTGTCTGTGTGTGTGTGTGTCTCTGTGTGTGTGTGTCTGTGTGTGTCTGTGTGTGTATGTGTGTGTGTGTCTGTGTGTGTCTGTGTGTGTGTGTCTGTGTGTGTTAGTGTGTGTGTTGTAGTGTGTATCTGTGTGTGTGTCTGTGTGTGTGTCTGTGTGTGTGTCTGCGTGTGTGTGTGTGTCTGTGTGTGTGTGTCTGTGTGTCTGTGTGTGTCTGTGTGTGTGTCTGTGTGTGTCTGTGTGTGAGTCTCTGTGTGTGTGTGTACTGTGTGTGTGTATGTGTCTGTGTGTGTGCGTCTGTGTGTGTGTGTCTGTGTGTGTGCGTCTGTGTGTGTGTGTACTGTGTGTCTGTGTACTGTGTGTCTGTGTGTGTACTGTGTGTGTCTGTGTGTGTGTACTGTGTGTGTGTCTGTGTGTGTGTGTCTGTGTGTGTGTACTGTGTGTGTGTACTGTGTGTGTGTCTGTTTGTGTGTGTGTACTGTGTGTGTGTACTGTGTGTGTGTATGTGTGTGTGTCTGTGGGTGTGTCTGTGTGTGTGTTTCTGTGTGTGTCTGTGTGTGTGTACTGTGTGTGTGTCTGTGTGTGTGTGTCTGTGTGTGTCTGTGTGTGTGTCTGTGTGTGTGTCTGTGTCTGTCTGTGTGTGTTCTGTGTGTGTCTGTGTGTGTACTGTGTGTCTGTGTGTGTGTACTGTGTGTGTCTGTGTGTGTGTCTGTGTGTGTTTATTGTGTGTGTGTGTCTGTGTGTGTGTCTGTGTGTGTGTGAGTCTGTGTGTGTGTCTGTGTGTGTACTGTGTGTGTGTCTGTGTGTGTGTCTGTGTGTGTGCGTCTGTGTGTGTGTCTGTGTGTGTGTACTGTGTGTCTGTGTGTGTACTGTGTGTCTCTGTGTGTGTGTACTCTGTGTGTGTCTGTGTGTGTGTCTGTGTGTGTTTTTGTGTGTATCTGTGTGTGTCTGTGTGTGTGTCTGTGTGTGTGTACTGTGTGTGTGTACTGTGTGTGTGTCTGTTTGTGTGTGTGTACTGTGTGTGTATGTGTGTGTGTGTCTGTGTGTGTGTCTGTGTGTGTATCTGTGTGTCTATGTGTGTGTGTCTGTCTGTGTGTGTGTCTGTGTGCCTCTGTGTGTGTGTACTGTGTGTGTCTGTGTATTGTGTGTGTGTGTACTGTGTGTCTGTGTGTGTTTCTGTGTGTGTGTCTGTGTGTGTGTACTGTACTGTGTGTGTGTGTCCTGTGTGTGTGTGTCTGTGTGTGTGTGTACTGTGTGTCTCTGTGTGTCTGTGTGTGTCTGTGTGTGTGTGTGTCTGTGTGTGTACTGTGTGTGTGTCTGTGTGTGTACTGTGTGTCTGTGTGTGTACTGTGTGTCTGTGTGTGTACTGTGTGTGTGTGTCTGTGTATTTCTGTGTGTGTGTCTGTGTGTGTGTCTGTGTGGGTGTGTCTGTGTGTGTGTACTGTGTGTGTGTCTGTGTGTGTGTACTGTGTGTGTATGTGCGTCTGTGTCTGCGTGTGTGTCTGTGTGTGTGTCTGTGTGTGTGTGTCTGTGTGTGTCTGTCTGTGTGTGTGTCTGTGTCTGTGTGTACTGTGTCTGTGTGTGTCTCTGTGTGTGTACTGTATGTGTGTGTGCTGTGTGTGTCTGTGTGTGTTTCTGTGTGTGTGTCTGTGTGTGTGTACTGTGTGTGTGTGTACTGTGTGTGTGTACTGTGTCTGTGTGTGTCTGTGTGTGTCTGTGTGTGTGTCTGTGTGTCTGTGAGTGTGTGTACTGTGTGTCTGTGTGTGTGTATATACTGTGTGTCTGTGTGTGTGTCTGTGTGTGTCTGTGTGTGTCTGTGCGTGTGTGTATCTGTGTGTGTGTCTGTGTGTGTGTCTGTGTGTGTGTGTACTGTGTATGTGCCTGTGTGTGTGTCTGTGTGTGTTTGTCTGTGTGTGTGTCTGTGTATGTGTGTACTGTGTGTGTTTCTGTGTGTGTCTGTGTGTCTGTGTATGTGTCTGTGTGTGTGTCTGTGTGTGTCTGTGTACTGTGTGTGTCTGTGTGTCTGTGTACTGTGTGTCTGTGTGTGTACTGTGTGTGTCTGTGTGTGTGTGTACTGTGTGTGTGTCTGTGTGTGTGTGTGTGTCTGTGTGTGTCTGTGTGTGTGTACTGTGTGTGTGTGTACTGTGTGTGTGTCTGTTTGTGTGTGTGTACTGTGTGTGTATGTGTGTGTGTCTGTGTGTGTGTCTGTGTGTGTGTGTGTTTCTGTGTGTGTCTGTGTGTGTGTACTGTGTGTGTGTCTGTGTGTGTCTGTGTGTGTGTCTGTGTGTGTGTCTGTGTGTGTGTACTGTGTGTGTCTGTGTGTGTACTGTGTGTCTCTGTGTGTGTGTGTACTGTGTGTGTGTCTGTGTATGTGTACTGTGTGTGTGTGTCTGTGTGTGTCTGTGTGTGTGTGAGTCTGTGTGTGTGTCTGTGTGTGTGTGTACTGTGTGTGTGTCTGTGTGTGTGCGTCTGTGTGTGTGTGTACTGTGTGTACTGTGTGTCTGTGTGTGTACTGTGTGTGTCTGTGTGTGTGTACTCTGTGTGTGTCTGTGTGTGTGTCTGTGTGTGTGTCTGTGTGTCTCTGTGTGTCTGTGTGTCTCTGTGTGTCTGTGTGTGTCTGTGTGTGTACTGTGTGTGTGTCTGTGTGTGTGTACTGTGTGTCTGTGTGTGTGTCTGTGTGTGTCTGTGTGTGTGTCTGTGTGTGTGTGTCTGTGTCTGTGTGTGCGTCTGTGTGTGTGTCTCTGTGTTTGTGTGTGTGTGGCTGTGTGTGTGTCTGTTTGTGTGTCTCTGTGTGTCTCTCTGTGTGTGTATCTGTGTGTGTGTCTGTGTGTGTGTCTGTTTGTGTGTGTCTGTGTGTGTGTCTGTGTGTGTCTGTGTGTGTCTCTGTGTGTGTGTGTCTGTGTGTGTATCTGTGTGTGTGTGTCTGTGTGTGTCTCTGTGTGTGTGTCTCTGTGTGTGTGTCTGTGTGTGTCTGTGTGTGTGTGTCTGTGTGAGTCTGTGTCTGTGCGTGTCTGTGTGTCTGTGTGTGTGTGTCTGTGTGTGTGTGTCTGTGTGTATGTCTGTGTGGGTGTGTCTGTGTGTGTGTTGGAAACATTTAGGCTGGCCTGCCTACGATCCATCCTGGGTTTAACCAGGCTGGATTGTGTGAGGAGCTCACAAATCCTTGAAAGATCTGGGCAAGGTCCCATCGGTGAGCTCCTCCGGCAGGCAAGGCTGCGATGGCTGGGTCATGTAGCCCGCATGCCCAGCCACCGCATGCCGAATATTATTGTGTCATTTTATTTATCAATTTATTATTTTATTCTCATTCTACGTGACTTTACCGAAAGAACCAAATAAGATGAAACACCTTTTGTTCGGCCGGATTGAGGGGGCAAAGCGGGCGCGGCACGGGCTAGAGAAGAGATGGAGTGATGTGGTACAGGAGGACGTGGAGCTGAGTGGACTTGCCGATGACCGGTACCAGCGGTGTCAAGATCGGCCTCTGTGGAGGAGGCTCGTGAAGGACGCTACTGGGCAGTTGGAGGCAGTCGCCCTCCAACAACAACGGAGGGCGGAGGAGCGACGCTCACAACAACGAGCGGCGTGCCGGGTGGCTAAAGCACAGCAGGTTGGCACAGTAGGGGGCACAGGTGGTGCATCAGCCAGTCATCTCAGTCAGTCGACCCGTGGCACCTGCTGGGTCTGCCCCGTGACCTCCTGCCCGTGGGCGTTCGACACTTCACGTGGCCTCAAGGTGCACATAGCCTGGCACAAGCGTCGTGCTGACGTCACCGCCACTTAGTGGTGAATGGCGGTTGTTACTGTGTGTGTCTGTGTGTGTGTGTTTGTGTGGGGAGCGGTGGTGTAGTGGTTAGCGCTACGCTGCGCTATGAACCTGGCGACCCGGGTTCGATTCCCGCTCACCGCCAACACCGTCAGTGACGATAATCTTAACCGGTTCCGGGCCTCCCCTAGGTCGACTCAGCCTCAAATGAGTACCTGGTGCGGTGTGGAGTAAACATCGCCACTAGGGAGACAAAGGCGGTCGGGCGTGGTGCTGCCTACCTACCCCCTCGTGTACCGTTCAGGCCTTCATAGGTGCTCGCTAACAGCACTTGCCCCTACAGTCTGTTAAGGCTATATGGAGGAATCTTTGATCTTTGTGTGTAGGTGTGTGTGTGTGTGGTGTCTGTGTGTGTCCGTGTGTGTCCGTGTCAGCGTGGTGTTGTTGTGGTGCACCTAGCCTGGCACCTGTGTGCGTGTGTGTAGCGGTCAGCGATACGCTCCCTGCCACCGCCACCAGCACCACCACCAACCGGTGACGATTCATCTGAACCGCTCCAGGGCCTCCTCCCCTAGGTCGACTCAGCCTCAACACAGCTCACGCGGTCTAGCGCTGCGGAGTGAACATCGCAGCACTTGCCCCCACATTCCGCGCAGGCTATACGCGGGCTTCGAACCTTTGCCTTTTGTGTGTTGGCACGTGCCGAGCGGTGACGTATCAACAACAAATTTTTTTTTTTTAATTTTGTTTTGCCCATGGGTCGTAGTTGGT